AACCTCAGTTGCTCCCTGCAGCAGTAATTTTGCTGCCTTTCTTTCCATCCCCGCTCATGGGGAGAGTGGTGGGTTGAAGTTAGGCATGACAGAGAAAGGCTCTTAAGGAATTCTGATGGGTCAGCAGAAGTGGAAAGCCAGGATACATACTGCAGCAGGACATGCATTCTGCAAGGATAAACTGACATGCATTCTGCAAGGATAAACTGAGATTTGCAGCATTACTCTTTGCTTCTGCTAGTACCTGGTCTCCAGCTTTGTTCAGATGGAACTTTCAGCCTTGAAGTCATGTATGTGTATATGTACAAGGCAAAAGCAAAAGCAAAGGTTTTTACAATGGGATTTTCCCCAAGGCTAGTGCATATGCTTCTACAGACACAAAGTCTGAACTGGAAGAAATAATAAATAAAATGCAGAGTTTTAAAACCAAAACTACTTCTGGTGAACAATATATTTGCACTACTTGCCTTTTTACCAGGAAATTTCCTTTTTAGCAGAAAGAGATGTAGCATCTTCTCAATCAATGCATTATATAATGCAGACAATCTCATGCACTGGAACTCCGGACACCAAGCTACCACTTCCTGACAGATTCACAGGATCACAGAATGGTTGAGGTTGGAAGGGACCTCTGGAGGTCACCTGGTCCAATCCCCTTGCTCAAGCAGGCCCACCTCAAGCCAGTTGCCCAGGACTACGTCCAGATGGCTTTTGAGTATCTCCAAGGAGAAGGACTCCAAAATCAAGTGAGGGTTAAATGCTTTCCAGTTGGAAGATACCCAGGTCCACTGGACATAGCAAAACATTTCTCTTCTAATGGCCTTAAACAAAATTAATTTTGCATACTTGCAGATGAAAGCATTACTGATAATGACCACAAAAAGCTTGCCTGATACCCTTTTTGGATCTTATTTCTGGATCTCTCAGAAAAAAAGAGGGAGAGGGGGAAGAAAAAGGGGTCCTTTCTAATATAGGAAGCAAGCATATTCCTCTGATAGAAATTAAGATGTTAAGAGTTCTTAAAGGCGCAGTAGGACCACATACAAAACAGCTATCCATGTGAACATTTCATTTTTAACACTAATATGCTTTGGCATCCAGGAAAATTGCTCAGCACTTTTCATACTTTAAATGTAATTCCTACTGCTAATATGTAAAATCTCTGTGGAGCCATCCTTGCTTCCACAGTTTTAGAGAGTGACTACAGATACAAAAAAAATGACTTCCCAAAAGGTTTGTAAAACCTTTACTTAAATTTAGGGCTCAGTTCAATAAAGAATTACGCTGTGTTAAGGTTTCTATGGAATTTAGTCATAAAAAGTTCAGACTGTACTAAAAACTAATTAATTCTGTGGGTTTGGTATTCATTGATGCCTCCTTCCCCTGTGCACAAATAGCTAACGTTATGCCCTGAAGGGCGTGCATGCCAAGAAGGTGGAAAAGGATATTCTGAGCTCAAGAGACTATAACACAGTAGGTCCATTAAAAAAAGGGATCTTTCTCAAATAGTTTTCAAGATAATAGAGCTGCCTGCAGGCAGCTTTAACTTGCATTCTGGTCAATTATAGGGATTTATGGAACTATTTCTTACACTGGTTAAAATAAATACTTATCACATCAATCTGGGCTACATATGGTACCCATGTAGCATCCAGAGGTGAAATATGCTCAAAAAGAAATTAGCAACTTTTGCAGTACATACATTAAGCTTTTGTAGTGCCTTCCCATGAAAATATTTGACATGTAAATAATGTTAGCAGTTACAAGGATTTTTCTTAGACTTCATATGTTCACCCAGATCACCTGAGATTCTTGAAAGATCTTGTTAAAAATAAGAAAAAAGCTGACAAATGTTCACTTAAAAAAATAAACCACCTGAGCTGAAGGCAGGGAAGGCACCAAAATAGGAGATAGTTTTCTAATGCATTGGCTCTATTCTGCCACCAAAAACAAAGTCCTCCACTCATTGCAGCTCTTAGCAGGAAACATTTCTAACCTGTGCGTGGAGGGAGATCTTCCCCCAAACTGATACTGACCCATACATTTGCTTTGTACTGCCCACATTCTGCTGCTTGGATGTAGCCCACAGATACTTTTGTTTGAATTGCAGCCTGGCTCCAAAGCCATGAGAAAAATATTTGAATGACAACTAACTAGTCCATTGAATTGAACCCTTGTCTTCATAGAAATAGGAATGTTAAAAAAACAAAAAGGAAAAAGCCACCACCGATTCTTTTCATTTTAAAGAGTGGCACGCTTTTTTTTTTTTGGGGGGGGGGGGGGGGGGGGTAGGAACATCAGATAGACAACGGGAAGTATCCAATACTAGTGCAAGCAACTGTGCTTTGTAAAAAAAAATCTAAAAGGCAACCTCTGAAAAAGGAGAAGCTTTAAATCACAGGTGATTTTTTTTTTTGCTATTTTTTGACACATTCTTTGTTTTGAAGACATCTGTTGGAAGCAAAATAACCACTGACTTGCACAATCACACAATTTTTTTTTCCCTTATGGCTGTATGTTTTCAGTGTTACATACCAAAGACCATTAGTACCATGAAAGGAGCTGAATACAATTTCTTACATAATTCAGGTGACAGATTGCTTGCTTGAATCAGTTTGAGTTCCTTGAGATGTATTTTTTTAAAAAGAAAGTTGGTGCTCTGCACAGATTATAGAATTTAGTATCACTTAAGGACCTTTACTAGCCCACGTCTTCTATATTTATTTGTTTTTAATGGTAGGGCAAAGCATAAAAAGCTTTAAAACTTGACAAAATACACTAGTCAGAAATACTCACTTTCATGAATCTAACCCTTATTTTCATATCTATGGTTACATGCCCAAATATTGGTGTATGTATAACTTTCTTCCCTCAGTGAAATTATTTGAAAGGAACTGGTTTACAACTTTTAAAAAAGGCCCAGCATTTATTTTTTTTGCCAAAAAATCTTTGCAGGCATTACATTTGCATTAGCAGTAAAAATATTGCAATAAATCTTCACCTCACAAAGCTTTCTGTAACCATCTGTCAGGAAATCTGTATTAGCCTGGAGTAAGCATCACTTCACATATACTTTTTTTTCTTACTCTAAGGTTAAAAAATTTCAGTTCTAACAATGATGTGAACTCGTATCATTAGCTAGAAATTAGGAAGATGTGCAGAATGCCAACACGGCTGTTTAGCTAATACACTTCAGGGTAAGGCTTTAAACATCTGATTTATGGTGATCGGCTGTCTCAATCCTGGCAAGCTGCAAATCCAAACCTTTCCATGGCAGGAACAAGGGTGGTTGTAATTCATGGTACGGGAGAGGAATAGGCTCCTCAGCCCTGCTGTGTCCCCTCTGTCAGCACAAACCCTGGCCTCACCAGCTGGAAACCCACTGCCCTCAGTCTCCACAGAGTTCCCAACCCAACAGGAAATTACAGTGTTGATGGTTTCTTTTTTCTACAGTGACGTAAAACATTTATAGCGACATATATAAGAATATATTATATATTTATATAAAATATATAAATAAATACATATATAAAATATGGCATTACTTTCCAGAGAGATGTTACATTTCACAGGCCACCTTTCCTTATCCAGATTTCATTGTCATACAAAATTTGTCATGAAGTTCAGTAAACAATCAGCCTCCAAAAAAATGTTGCCAGTCTTCCTTATGTGAAAGCATCACATACCAGAACAAAACCAAATCACTTCTCTCCCAATTAGAAGGACATATAGTATCATGGCAGACAGTTGGTTTAAATATTTAAACCCAATGGTTCCTATTCTATGCTTAGATACAGGCAAATAAATTGTATCGAAGTCAAAGCAACAATTGTGTGTAGTGTAAATGAAGCACGGGGGTCAACACCTGGGTCCACGATCCCCCAATCTTGTCAGCATTGTTTTAAACAGGAGTTCCTCATACAGAGTATGTGCTTTGGTAGAGTGTACCAAGACAACACAGAATAGATACAGCTTTTAAAAATAAATAAGCAAATAGAAAGGGTGGTACTGTAATGGCAATTTTTTGTTCATTAATATTCTGTATTAGTGTGAGCAGGAAACGGAGGAAATGTAAGCCTCGTTGCACAAATTAAGTGAAGGACGGACAGAAGAATGCTTTACCAAGAGCTTCAGTGCAACTTTTATCCTTTCCAGTGGCATAATTCAGTGAAGGGTACATTAGAAAAAAACAATAAAATAAAATAATTAAAAAAATTTTTAAAAATATTATCTTGGTATTTGTAGTTTCTTCAAATAAGAAAACTTAGTATCTTCTGGAAACACTTCCTTCGCTCCACAAATTCATTTCTACTATCTAGAATAGGTCAGTGCATATGCATATGGATCTATACATGTTTGTAAATCATTCCATACCCTTACTTTCTCTTACAGAAGGATAGACTAGAATTATTGTGTAGTATTTGGTATTCACATGTTACATTTAAATAAAGTTTATTAAAAAACAATTATATTAAATACAGGCTAACAGAATATTCATAATATATTTTACAGAAAAAATAGCCATGTCTTTATTTTAGAAATACATTTCTTTAAAAAGTTCTTTGAGATTTTATAAAACTTTTTACCCGTGAAATAAGTTTCCCGTCAGACCTGTAAAAAAAGCTTAACTTTTAAATCCTTGTGGGTTTTTTGTTTTGTTTTTTAATACTTTTAGAAGCTTACAATCTATAAATTCTTTAAAATAAAAAAACAGTATCTTTCGGGATCAAATTGGTCACAGGCCGTTCTTTAAAAAGTCAGTGGAGATTCCCTGAATCCATTCTGAAGTGCCTTTCATTTTTCTCTCTCTCTGGGTCTCAATAGTGCAGGTTTACGTGGGAATTCAGAGCTCCCTACAC